TGGGTCACATGGTGCGTTCACTGACTGCAGGCCGACAGAATAAGACAAAAGCAGCATGAGACAAAGGCTGCAGTGGGAAAGAGGCGCTGGTGTTACTGGAGGGCGGCTCTGATAAACAGGTTACAGTGGGACTGCTCCACCTGCTCCACTCTCATCTACTCTCGTCCACCTTCTCCTACAGGCCGGATTACATCATCTCACCTGCTGGAGTCTGGATTTCATTTTCCTTTGCATTATTTAATTAAACATGTACTTTAAGGAGTTCCCACGGACACAAAGACAGCAGGAGAGTAATAACTTTGGCACTAACGTACAGAGCAACTGAAATTTAACACTTCACAAGAGCTTTTCAATTCCACACAGAATACAGTTTAATACAGAAAAGTTTCTAGATGGCATCAGCCAAAGTATATAAATTTCACAAAGGATGGCGTTTTGTAGCAACTTGTTTTAGGCTCCAAACATGAGTATTTCATCGCAACCTGTCAGTGTTCTTCCAGCGGCTATTAAGGCTCCAAACATGAGTGTTTTGTAGCAACCTATCACTGTTTTTCAAGTGCCTTTTAAGGTTCAGAACATGGATGTTTTGTACAAACCTTTCAGCATTTTTCCAGCGACTTTTAAAGCACAAAACGTGACTGTTGTGTAGTGACCTGTCATTGATTTTCCAGCAGCTTTTTAGGCTCCAAACATGAGTGTTTTGTAGCCACCTATCAGTGTTTTTCAAGTGGCTTTTAAGGTTCCAAATGGGGGTGTTTTGTAGCCACCTATCAGTGTTTTTCAAGTGGCTTTTAAGGTTCAGAAAATTAATGTTTTGTAGCCACCTATCAGTGTTTTTCAAGTGTTTTGTAGCGACCTGTCAATGTATTTCCAGCTGATTTTTAGGCACCAAACCGGACTGTTACATAGCGACCCATCAGTGTTATATCTGAGGTTCTAAACACTGGCGTTTTATAGCAATCTGCCTGCATTTTTCAGCAGTTTTTTGGGTTCCAAACAAGTCTGTTTTGTAGCAACCTGTCACTGATTTTCCAGCAGCTTATAAGCTTCCTGACATGGGTGTTTTGTACTGACCTGTCTGTGTTTCCCCAGGCTCCAATCGTGAGTGTTCCCTAGCGACCTGTCCGTGTTTTTCAAGCAGTTCTTAAGTACCAAACATGACGAATTCATAGCAACATGTCGTTGTTTTTCCAGCCTCTTTTTAGGCTCCAAACATGGCCATTTTGTAGCAACCTGCCTGTGTTTTTCCAGTGGCTTTAAGGCTCTTGTCAGTGTTTCATAGCGACATGTTTTTCAAGCAGCTTTTAAGCACCAAATATGATGGTTTCATAGCAACTTGTTGGTGTTTTTCCAGCTGCTTTATGCTCCAAACGTGGGTGTTCTTTTAGCTACCTGTCAATGTTTTATAGCTGCCTTTTGTGCTCAAAAGACGGGTGTTTTGAGGCGACCAGTCAATGTATTTCCAGCAGCGATTTAGGCACTAAACATAAGCGTTTTGTAGCAACCCATCTCTTATATGTTATATCTTATATGTTCCAGACGTGGATGTTTTGTAGCGACCTGTCGGCGAGATAGTGCCACAAAAAGTGGTTGTCTTTTACCAAGATTTTTTTCCTAACAAATTTAACGCATCTGTGATTTGCAGACACGTATAATGCCAACATTTTTCATGGCAATCGGTCGACTATATAACAATAAATTCTGATAATTGAATGAACGCAAACTGGGTCCTGATAAGAGGCAAAAAAACTGGATGGATGGATTGATTAGAATTGTGCAACCCCAGCGATAAGTCAGATTAATAGAATAAGGTAAATGTTGAAAACATGCGATGCGGGCTTTTTTCTGTGTCTTCACAAAGCTACAAACTGGAAGGAAACTCCTGATGTGTGATATTCGTTATATTATGTGGGAGATCTGGGAGATAATTCAGCAGTAAATTATCAAACATAAATCTGGATTCGAGTCCCAACATCTACAACAACTTCCTGTTGACACAAACAGCCTCTGGTTCTTGTAGTTCCTGACGTGCTTTCCTCCTCGCTGCTGTTAATTATCTGCCGTTAAGTCTGTAAAACCCTCTGAGGTGAAACCCTGTTTGTTAAAAACCGCTCTGTGAATAAAACCCCACTGTGTTTCCCGCTGTGGGAAAATGAAGCGTGTGATGTTCGCAGCAGCGAAGGTGTGCCTGTGTCTGTTAATAACAGCCACAGCTCCGAGGCCAGACGCAGAAAGTGGGTCAGTGTCACCTGGATGGCGGGACATCCATCCTCTCGCACACACACACACACAGACACACACACCTCACATGCAAATGAGGCTTAATGCCGGCGGAGAACATGTGGCGAGATGTGAGTCAGTGCGCAGTAACTAGGCCAAGTCACCTGCTTCATAAGAGTCAGAAATCGACAGTTTGTCTGAGATGAATCGACGCCTCTCTTTACATAACCACGACGCAAACGCACAGACGGGACGGTGGCCTCTCCAGCTGAGAGCTTGCGTAACATGACATGAATCTGAGCGACACGTCCAGATGTGTGCTGAGAGGCAAAGAAACAGGATGACAGTGCTGCTGCTGTTTTGGGTTATTTCCAGCATGAGAGCAGGCTGAGTGAGTCACCGAGCGCCACTGAATTCAGGGAAAATGGAAATGAGCAAAGTAGCAGCAAGTCACCGCTCTGACTCCTTTGTGTTATGTAGCTCAGACAGCTGGGAAGCCACTGAGCACATTCACGCTAATGGCCTTTATAACGTCCAAACCCATGAACCCCTTTCATTTTGCACTCCTCATTTCACAGAATCAAAGCTGCGGTGCTTTTACTTTCATTGACGCCACTCTCAGTCTATTTTTGGCAGCGCTGCTTGACATTTTCAGGGAGCTAAGGTCAAAAATCCCGTCAGAAAACACATCGATGGGGACCTTTACAGCTGCGTACAAGACCAAGGAAGTTTTGCAAAGTTCAAGATGTGTTTTAAGTCACATTTTCTCTTCTGGTCGAAATAAAAACTGGACGAACATCACAGGACCCCCGACTGAACCCGTCTGTGTATCACAGAGCAGGAGCTTGTGTACAACATACAGATGTTCCTAAACAGAGCGGCGGCCACTTTGGGTCTCTAGAAAACACGCTTCTGTAAACAGGGCCGGGTATGTGACAAACACAGGCTTCACGGGATCATTCCAACATCATCATCACCTCCTTCGTCTTCATCATAGCACGCACACCAATGAGCAGAACTCATTACACTTCTCAAAATGTCTAACGGTATTAAATATGAGATGACAGAAAACATAAACCATGATAAGGATATCAGCGAACAGACACCAGTCCTCCTGTCTCTTCATGAAATGAGTGGTATATTATTTTAGCAGCTCTCTCGGCTCCTAACAAAGGTGTTTTGTAGTGACCTGTCAGTGTTCTTCCAGCAGTTTCTTTAGGCACCAAACATTGGTATTTTGTAGCAACCTGTCTGTTATTTTCCAGTGGCTTTTTAGGCTCATGTTGTGAGTGTTCCTGCCATATCTGAGGTTCCAAGCATTGGCATTTCATAGCGACCTGCCTGCATTTTTCAGCAGTTTTCTGGGCTCCAAATATGTCTGTTTTGTAGCAACCTGTCACTGATTTTCCAGCAGCTTTTAAAGTTCCAAACATGAGTGTTTTGTACTGACCTGTCTGTGTTTTCCCAGTGGCTTTTTAAGGCTCCAATTTTGAGTGTTTCCTAGCGACCGGTCAGTGTTTTTCAAGCAGCTTTGAAGCACCAAACATGGCGGTTTCATAGCAACATGTCGTTGTTTTTCCAGCCTCTTTTTAGGCTCCAAACATGGCCATTTTGTAGCAACCCGTCTGTGTTTTTCCAGTCATATCTGAGGCTCCGAACATGTCTGTTTTGTAGCAACCTGTCACTGATTTTCCAGCAGCTTTTAAGGTTCCAAACATGAGTGTTTTGTACTGACCTGTTTGTATTTTCCAGTGGCTTTTAGGGCTCCAATCGTAAGTGTTTCATAGCGGCGTGTTTTTCAAGCAGCTTTTAAGCACCAAACATGGCGGTTTCATAGCAACTTGTTGGTGTTTTTCCAGCTGCTTTATGCTCCAAATGTGGGTGTTCTTTTAGCGACCTGTCAATGTTTTATAGCTGCTTTTTAGGCTCAAAAGACGGAGTTTTGGTGTGACCAGTCAATGTATTTCCAGCAGCGATTTAAGCACTAAACATGAGTGTTTTGTAGCAACCCATCTCTGCGCTTCAAGAAGCTTTATATTTTCCAGACGTGGCTGTTTTGTAGCGACCTGTAGGCGAGATAGTGCCACAAAAACTGGTTGTCTTTTACGATTTTTTTTCTAACCATCACCAAGTGTTTTTCTGTGTCTAAACCTGACCACACATTAACCACAGCATCATTGAAACCTGTTTTGTAGCAACCTGTCAGTGTTTTTCAAGTAGCCTTTAAAGGTTCCAAACATGAGTGTTTCATAGCAACCTGACTTTGTGTTTCCAGCAGCTTTTTACGCACCAAATGTGGGTATTTTGAAGCAACCCATTAGTGAGTCTCCAGCAGCTTTTAGGTCTCCAAACATGAGTGTTTTGTAGCAACCTGTCAGTGTTTTTCAAGTAGAAACTTACATGTTGTGGTTTATATTTGATGCCACAGGTGCGAGGACCTGTTCATCGCTGCATTTAACTTTAATTATATTTGTTTTACTCTATGATGTAATGTTTGCTTGTGTGGACAGCAGGGACAGAAGTTATTACCTTGGTAGGAACAAATAAATAAATGTCAACAAACTCCAGCTCCAGGATAATCAATACTGTTGCTCCTGTTGTCCAACACATGGCAACACACCTCAGTATGTCAACTTTAAAGTGCAGATAGCATCACTGACAATCAGCTGTTGACACCACAAACCTCAGACATGTCACAGACCCTGTAAAGCCGTGCATGTGCGTGCACATTCAGACAGCATCCAGGTGTTGTCACACCAGCATCCACCCTTGCATCCTACCTTCAATCGCGATGACGTGCTCCCGGATCTGGTTCTGCAGCAGCGGCTCCTCCACCCGCTCCAGGAGCTCGTAGATGGAGTAGATGTTGGGATGGACGGACTCAAACCTCTGGATCTCGGCTCGGATGGCGGCCGAGTTGGCCAGGTGCTGCTGGTAGTTCATGGCTGCGACTGTTCGGCCGGGTCAGACGGTGGTGCTGGTGGTGCTGGTGGTGCTGGTGGGCAGATGGGAAGGTGAAAGCTGTGACCTCCAGCAGCGGGACGCGTTCACAGGGAAGCCTTAAATCATGCTGTTTCGCTGCGGACCCTGGTGAACTCAACACGGTGGTTTCTCCTTCAAACTGTTAATTTAAAACAATAGTTTGTGGAGTGTTTTCTTCCAGAAAGACACAGTTACTCCTCCTCTACATCCCGGGAAGATTTCACACGAGATTTATACTCCCAGCGGTGTTTTTTGGCGGAGCGGCCAGACTGCTGCTACTGGCCGGTGAGGGCAGCTGTTCCCCGGGGTGTCCCGGTCTCCAATGCCGGTGCGGTGACAGATGTGCAGCAGGCTGGGCACCGCTTCCCCATATCCTCACTGCCCGTGAGAGATTAAAACCACACCGGCTCCGGTTCTATCAGAGCTGCCGGAGTCACTTAGTCATAACTGACCGGAGGAGAAGTATCAAAATCGGCCTTGTTGCGAGGCGGCTATGCTAGCCGGCTAAAGCTAACTAGCTGTAGCTTCCCAGCCGGAGGGGGAGAAGAGGGAAAACTCGCCGCTTTTCAGGCGTCAAACTCGGCTTTACATAACGGCCGAGCGGGAGGTTAGAGCTCCGGAGAGGAGGCGAGAGCAGCCATTTTAAAATCCTCCATGAAAAAGAGCAGCTGGGGGCAGACAGGCAGCTGGATGAAGTGTTAGTGGACCGGGACTTGGGATGCCTGTTCCCGTCCGTCCGTCCGTTGTTTTGTCTCCGGGACCAGCTGCGCGAGACTCACCTCCTCAGTCCGGATTCAGCCGCGCGAGGCCAGCGGGGCTCGTGCGCCTCCCGAAATAGATCCAGGTGTGGTTTAAAGCCGCGTAAAATCACAGGTAGATCCCGCACGCGACGCTCACACACTCAGCCGATCCCCCTTCCCGTGATGTGAGGTCCATCCCGGGTAGAGCCACAGTATCCCGGCCGGGAACGTCACTGCACCGTCAAGGTACCCGGACCCCACACGGCGGCTTCCGGTTAGCATCTTCAAAATAAAAGCCACTAAAAGTAATTTGGTTTTACTTTGTATTTCCATTTTAACGCGACTACGACACAGTAAATGTAATAAAGTAAAAGCAACAATATTAAACTTTAAAACACTGAATTACAAGTAAAATTAAAATTTGTCTCAAGTAAAAGATTTGGTAATGTTTATATTTAAAAAATATATATATAAATGTAATTAGATATGGTTAATTTTTACATTTATAAAAAGTAAATGTCATTAGATTATTAGACTATACAAAGCATTAATTATTCATTTATTTTATTTTATTTATTGTTGTTTCTTTTGTCTTGCCTCCCATGGCGTCAACTGTTTCACATAATAGTAAAAAATATATATGATTCCTCCGTGAAACTCCGTGAAAGCGACTCAGCAGTACAAAAGTAATAATAATAATGATAATTAATTAATAATTAATATATTTTTCTAAAATCTGCATAACGAGTATTTCCACCTTTGTACTTTAAGTATATTTTAGTTCTGCACTTTTACTTCAGTAATATTTTAAAAACAATTTTAATTTGTAACTCAGTATTTCTACATTGTTATTGTGACTTTAAAAATAAATTCAAACCATTAATATGTAAAAAATATATAATTATATACTTCATATAGTAGGTATATTGCAGTTCAATTTAAAAATGTGATTCAGTAGTTTTAGCTCCCGTGCTTTTATTTTGAAAATCACAACCTCCGTTTCCCGGTGTTTTTCTCGCTAACCCCCGCGCGCTTGACGCAGCGGCGTTCACGCAGATACTCACTGCGTGGATTGTGCGCAAAAATAACTCATGAGAAGAATCTGAGTCCAGATTTTAACTCATAGATTTAACCTTAATTACGGGCTCCTTCAAAATAAAGCTACAAAGCACCAACAGACATCTTGATTAAAATAAATAAATGAAATAAAATAAAACACCAAACAGAGCATTACATGTCAGAGTTTATTCACTACATTAACATGAACATATATTCTTAATTTGTCGAACAAATAATGAAATGAAAAAGCAAACATTTCCTGTTCCAGCGGCGCGTCGTAGCACTGCATGGTGGTATTTGTAGTACTGCCTGGTGGTGTTTGTAGTTTGGGTACAAATACCTCGTTGACAGAGTCTCTTTGAAACTGAGCAGCGTTCCTTCAGCCTCATTGTGTCGTCGCTGGTATTTTCTCTCCGTCCAGCAGTAAATAGTGCACAATGCCGCTCTTCTTCTTCCCACCGCTCGCCGCCTTGATGCAGCACTCGTGTTCCCCCAACATGAAGTGCGTCTCTGTGCCGTCGTCCACGAACTCTCCCTGTGGACAGTCCACCAAAGGACACACGCAGAGGGTTTTAGGATTTCAAGTCATTAATGAGGATTTATTTTACTGTGTCACTGTAAACACAGATGTTTCCTTTAAACGCTTTAACTCTTATTTTGAAAGAGGAGAGAAACTTGGTCAGATTATCAGACACCAGACAGAATTAAACTAAAATTATGATGGTACTTTATTTTTAATATTCCTTTCATCATTTTCTTTTATTTCTGGGGGAAACTGGCTTTTATTTATTAAAGTGTAACACGTGGTCGTGGTTATCCTTTTTGCTTTGTTTGTTTTTTGTTCTGAGGGTTTGAATTTTTGTCTTTTCCAGAGGGGACAGGAACTCCTCCATCATACAGTCCAAACATCCTAGAAAAAGTCTCAAAGATGGTTTTCCAAAACATGTGCAACATGTGCAGTATTAGAAGGTGGTGGAAACACACTGACTGGTCGCTACAAAACACCCACAATTAGAGCTTTAAGAGCCGCTGGAAACAAACAGAGGTTGCTACAAAACATCCACGTTTGGAGACATAAGCCACTTGAAAAACACTGACAGGTAGCTAAAAAACACCCATGTCTAGTTCCTAAAAATCCTCTGGAAAAGCACAAGCAGGTGGCTACAAAACACCCACATATGAGCCTAAAAAGCCACTGGAAAAACACCAATAGGTCACTACGAAACACACATGATTGGAGCCGGGTCACAGGTCACAGGTCACTATACAGGTCACTATAAAACACTCACATTAGGTACATTAAAGGCGCATGATAAACACTGACTGGTTGCTACAAAACACCCACGGCTGGAGCCTACAAAGCTGCTGGAAAATCACAAACAGGTTGCTTGAAAACACCCACGTTTGGAGGCTAAAAATTCCCTGGAAAAGCACAGAGGGGTCACTATAAAACACCCACACTTGAGCCTAAAAAGCCTTAGGAAAGACACCGACAGGTTGCTACAAAACACCCACATTTGGAGCCTTAAAAGCTGCTGGAAAAACACTGACAGGTCACTATAAAACACTCACATTAGGTGCATTAAAGGCGCATGATAAACACTGACTGGTTGCTACAAAACACCCACATTTGGAGCCTTAAAAGCTGCTGGAAAAACACTGACAGGTCACTACAAAATGCTCCCAATTCAATCCTTAAAAGGCAATGGAAAGACACTGACTGGTTGCTACAAAACACCCATGTTTGCTGCCTAAAAAGACACTGGAAAAACAATGATTCACTATAACACACCATCCCCTCCACCACCAGTTAACAAAGTCATTTTATATATTACACCACTTTCGAAACGCTGATATGTATGAAACGTACAAATGTAACATATTCATGGTTTGCAGAAATGAACAATCCTACATTTTCTCCAGGTGACTGAGCTGATTTTACACCACTCCAGACTTTATAAAATATGTCATAAATCCCTCCAAATCTCACATTAAGGTCTCTAGTTTGTGTCTGTAAAGTTTGGTGAGGCTGTGATTATCTTAGAGGTCACTGTAGGTCATTTTATACAGGGAGGCCAAGTTTGTTATTTGTGATGTAAAATAAGGAACTTATCTGCAACTCGTACACACAACATGTCACCATTTTGAGTCCTGGCAGGATTTAAAATATAATAACGTCATTTTAATTTATGTTTCACTTTATTCTGTTTATTTACATGTTAGAGCAGCTGCAGACTAGATGAGTTTTCTCAGGAAATATCAGATAAACAGGCGTGATGGGGGAAATAAACACAAACGTATCAGCAAGAAATCCATCTTCATTATTTCTACGTCATATAAATTATTTTTTTATGCATTTAGCTCCAGATGGAAGTTTAATTTTCTGTTGTCGGAGTCTCACTGAAATTTGAATGAATTCATTATAGTATTATTCATGATTATAAAACTACTTTAATGTTCAGGGTTCAGTGTTTCTCACCATTGTGTCCATTTTCTGTCCGTTGCACCAAACGTCCATCGTGTCCTTTTCTGTTGGAAACAAGAACAAATATATAATTATATAGAGAGAGAGCAATATACAGTTTATGGATGAATATAAGGTTATTTTTCACATATTATCATTCACAATAACTGAACCTGTAATTAATGGTTGACAGTGCTGGAACATGACTGAGCCACATTGACCTTTGACCACATAAATATAATCAGGTCATCGTTGAGTCCACACGGATGTCGGAGACAAATTTAAAGAAATTCCCTCAAGGCGTTGTTGATACATTGCATTATCAAGATGGACCTTTGACCACTAAAATCTAACCAGTTCATCGATGCATCCAAGTGGACATTTGTGCCAAATCTTAAGAAATTCCCTCAAGGTATTCTTGAGCTATCGCGTTCTCAAGAATGACATGGACGCAAGGTCACAGTGACCTTTGACCACCAAAATCTAATAAGTTCATTGTTGAGTTCCCGTGCCGTTTGTGCCAAATTTGAAAAAATTCCCTCAATGAGTTCTTGAGATTCACAAGAATGAAACAGACGCAAGGTCACAGTGACTTTTACCTTTCACCACCAAAACCTAATCAGTTCATTCTTGCGACCAAGAGGATGTTTGCGCCAAATCTGAAGAAATTCACTCAAGATATTCTTCAGATATTGTGTATTATGAGACAGACGGAAGGTCATGGTGACATCTGACCACAAAAATCTAATCGATTCATAGCTAAGTACAAGTGGACGTTTGTGCCAAATTTGGAGAAATTACTGCTGTAACGGTGTCAATTCAGGAGCATTTGTAGACTGTGGTATTTCTACTTTTACTGCAGTAACTGCTGGAATAAATTAAAATAAAATAAATTAAAGTAAAAATAAAATAAAATAAAATAACGTAAAGTAAAAAGTAAAGTCCAGTAAAGTCCGTCAGCTGTCAGTCACAGTAACGTCTCTAATGACCTCTAATGAAGTAATCAAACACATGAACTGACAGATTTGTGTATTTCCTGTCACACAGGTGTCGTCTGTGTCGTCCAATCAGGTGGCTGCAGGTCGCCCTGTTGCCTTAAATATCTGCTGTGACCTCCAGCTGAGCAGATTACACCTCAGTGGGTCACCTGTGGTTACATCATCACAAAGACACGTCAGGCTCACCCAGGACGACTCGGCAGTCGTCTCCGTCCACCTTGAGCAGCCAGGTCTTGGACGTCTTGGCTCTGTTGTCGATGAACTTCTGCAGACTCTTGCCGTCGACCTCCAGCGTGTACTCGTAGGCGAAGCCGCTGACCGCCTCGATGTTTATGGTGGCTTTGGTGTTGGAGCTCCCCACTGTGAAGGTTTCCTTCCCCACCAGCTTAAACAGCCAGTCCTTCCTGATGACTTCCTGTGGAGGAAACACGAGTCACACTGCTGCTGAGTCATCAGGTCATTCATTCATTCATTCAAAATAAAAACAAAATACACTTAAAGTTTGAAAAGTAAAAGTTACATGTTGTAGTAAAAGGTGAAAGTGTAAATACTTCTACTTCAGCTCCTGTAGTGACAGTGCAGGATGTGTTACTATAACAATACAGGTTGTACTTTAATGCGTCGATTTTAAGCCCTAAAACAAGTAAAAATATACCGTATATATTTTCATAAAAATAACACTTAAAATGAAGTAAAATAAAATAAAGACATGTTAAGTAAAGTAACATAAAGTTAAATAAAATAATGTAAAGTAAAATAAAGTTAAATAAAACACAATAAAGCAATGTAAACTATAGTGAAGTAAAGTAAAATAAAGAAAAGTAAAAATAACATGAACATGAAATAAAATACAAACATAAAATAAAATGAAATAAAACATAAACAAAATAAAATAAACTAAAGAAAATAAAATTAAATAAATTGAAAATAAAATGAAATAAATTAAAATGAAAAAAATAACAGAAAATAAAATAAAGTAAAATAAAATAAAATGCAATGAAATAAAATTAGAATAAAATAAAAAATATTTCCACATTTTTTTGTGAACTCCACTCAAACGTTTTCTTTCTTCTCTTTCTTTATGTCTCAGATTGAAATGTGGTACTTTTTACTGCAGTACTTTAGTTACTTTGCATAATGAGTACTTTTACTTCAGGTACTTTAAGTATATTCTGAGGTTGATACTTTTACTTCAGTTAAACTGACTATTTTTACACTGTGGTATTTCTACTTTTACTTGAGTGAAGCAACTCTTTGTTTGGGATGTCCGGTCACAACCTGACTTCATCTGAAGGTGGAAGAAGACAGGAAGTGAAGAGCCAGACTAAAGGAAGGTCTCACCTGTCCGTTGACGTACACGATGCGTTTCCCCGTGGTGGTGCCATGAGCGAATTCGATCCTATAAACACCATCGCTCAGCGCCACGTCCCACACCGCCACCAGATCTCCGCCCAGCATGTCTGAAGCTCCTCTGGACTGTTTTCCTCTGGACAGTCTCTTAGGACGGTCTCCTCTGGACTGTTTTCCTCTGGATGGTCTCCTCTGGATGGTCTCCTCTGGACAGTCTCCACTGGACAGTCTCTTAGGACGGTCTCCTCTGGATGGTCTCCTCTGGATGGTCTCCTCTGGACGGTCTCTTAGGACGGTCTCCTCTGGATGGTCTCCTCTGGATGGTCTCCTCTGGACGGTCTCTTAGGACGGTCTCCTCTGGATGGTCTCCTCTGGATGGTCTCCTCTGGACGGTCTCTTAGGACGGTCTCCTCTGGATGGTCTCCTCTGGATGGTCTCCTCTGGACGGTCTCTTAGGACGGTCTCCTCTGGACGGTCTCTTAGGACGGTCTCCTCTGGACGGTCTCTTAGGACGGTCTCCTCTGGATGGTCTCCTCTGGACGGTCTCCTCTGGACGGTCTCTTAGGACGGTCTCCTCTGGATGGTCTCCTCTGGATGGTCTCCTCTGGACGGTCTCTTAGGACGGTCTCCTCTGGATGGTCTTCTCAGGACTGTCTCTTCAGGACGGTCTCCTCTTGACGGTCTCCTCTTGACGGTCTCCTCAGAGTGTCTCCGTCCTGTCCTGGGGCGTGGAGGCGTCCTGTTGGAGCGGCAGTGTGGGCTCAGCAGCAGGTGTATTACTGTAAGAGGCTTAGAGACGTGAGCTCACACTGACACCGAGGATTATGGGAACAGCTCTGTATCTGTATCAGTGTTTGTATGAGGCAGCACCAACACCTCCTCCTGAACAGGAAGTGTGTTTGTAGGTCGACGTTCTGAGGTGACCTCTGACCTCTACATGGACGAGGTCAGAGAGAGACATGAACTAATGTAGAAAGAGACGTACAGTAAAAGATGCGTATACGAACACAGAGGATCAGACCACCTGAAGATTCTCTCTCAGAGGAAATGAGGATCTACAGTACGAGGTGCTTCTTTATTCTGGTGGCAGTGTTAAGAGTTTTCCACAGTTTACCCTTAATTTACCCCAAAAACTGTTAAGGGAGATTCTCAGGAGAGCCTGACCAAGAGGACAGAATACCTACCTACCGACCAAACGACCAACTGGCCTGTCTCCAAGATCCTTCAAAACTCTTGAAGAAAGAGGGATTTTAAAAAAGAACCCGAAAGAAAGAACCTGAAAGAAAGACCTTAAGGAAAAAGGGAATCTTGACAAAGAAAGAAAGAACCTTAAAAAGGACCTTAAAGAAAGGAAGAACATTAATGTAAGACAGGACCTGATTTTTTTTTTTTTTTTATAAAGGACCTTAAAGAATGAACCTTTAGAAATTACCTTTAAGAAAGAACCTTAAAGAAAGAATGAACCTGAAAAAGTATTTTAAAAAGTATCTTAAAAACAGAACCTTTAAAAAGTATCTTTAAGAAAGAAAATACCTTCAAGAACGAACCTTAATGAATGAAAGACACCTGAAAGGGGCTTTAAAAAGCACCTTAAAAAAATAAAGAGCCCGAAAAAGGGATTTTAAAATGTACCTTAAAAACAGAACCTTTAAAAAGTATCTTTAAGAAAGAAAAAAACCTTTAAGAATGTACCTTAATGAATGAAAGAAACCTGAAAAGGGAATTTTAAAAAGTACCTTAAAGAAACAGAATCTGAAAAGGGGAGGTTTAGAAATGACCTTTCAGAAACAACCTTAAAGGCATCTTTAAGAACGACAAAAACTTTAAAGAAAGAACCTTAAAGAAAGGCTACACCCGAAAAGGGATTTTAAAAAGGACCTTAAAAAGGAAACTTTAAAAAAGTGCCTTTAAGCATTAAAAAACCTTAAAGAAAGTACCTTAAAGAAAAAAAGGACCTGAAAAGGTATTTTTGAAAGGACCTTAAAGAAAGAATCCTAAAAAGTACCATTAGGAAAAAAAAACTTCAAGAAAGTATCTAAAAGAAAGACAGGACAGAAAAGGGATTTACAAAAGAACCTTAAGAAAACATCTTTAAGAAAGAAGAAACCTTTAAGAATGTACCTTAATGAAAGAAAACTTTAAAGAAAGAACCTTAAAGAAAGATAAAACCTGAAAAGGGATTTTAAAAATGACCTAAAGAAATGAACCTCAAACGAAGTACCTTTAACAAAGAAAAACCTTCAAGAACGTACCTTAAAGAAAGAGAGAAACCTGAAAAGGGACTTAAAAAAGTATTAAAAAACCTTAAAGAAAGTACCTTAAATTAAAAAGGACCTGAAAAGGTATTTTTGAAAGGACCTCAAAGACAGAATCCTAAAACAGTACCTTTAGGAAAAAAAAACCTTAAAGAAAGTGTCTAAAAGAAAGACAGGACCCAAAAAGGGATTTACAAAAGAACCTTAAAACATATCTTTAAGAAAGAAGAAACCTTTAAGAATGTACCTTAATGAAATAAAGAAACCTGAAAAGGGGGTTTTAAACAGACCTTAAAGAAAGAACCTTCAAAAAGTACCTTTAGAAAAAAAAACCCTTAAAGAACCTTAAAGAAAGACAAAACCTGAAAAGGGGGTTTTAAACAGACCTTAATTAAAGAACCTTATACAAAGTACCTTTAGAAAAGAAAAACCCTTAAAGAAAGACAGAAACCTGAGAGGGGCACTTTTAAAAGAACCTTAGAGACAGATGAGCTGATGCAGCAGCTGAGCTCAGACTGAGTCACACTGCTGTTTGTTTGTGTTTCAGGTCCTCCAGCAGGCGTCTCCTTCCTCCTCTTCTTCTTCTGTGGTGAAGAGAAAGCAGCTCTGCCGGCTCTCCTCTTCTTCTTCTGTTGTGTCTCTCCTGCTCAGATTCACACAAAGCCTCCTTTGTGTCGTAGTCTCATACCTGAGGTGCAGCCACATCTGTAGGAGGATTATTTACATTTATTTTTTTAGTCTTTTTTTTAATGATTTTATTATTTAAATGTTGACATTGGTTATTTTTGCCTTTTATTTGCAATTTTAAACTTATTCAATATTTCTTTATATTGTACTTATTTACATTTTGAGATTTTTGTACTGACTATTTTTATTCAAATTTATTTTACTGTTTTTATGGTTTGTTTGTTTTTACATTTTATTTTAAATTTAATTTGTTGATACTACAATTTTTATTTTTTATTCTAACACATTGAGTTGTTGATTTTTTTATTTTATATTTGAATGTTGTTTTTTACATATTTTGAGATTTTTGTATTCACTGTTTTCATTTTGTTGTAACTTATTTAAATGCTGAGACTGTTTACATTTATATTTTATCTAGTATCTAAATGTTAGTTTAATTTTAACCTATTCACATGTATTTTTTATTCATTTTGAGATTTTTGTATTCACTGTTTTTTAAATGAAATCTATTTTATTGTTTTTAGTTATTTTATAAAATTATTTTATTTTTAATTTTTGTTGATCTTGCCATTTTTATTTTTCATTCTTTATCTCTCTAGTTTTTTTTACAATTCAATGATTTTTTTAAACTTATTTTTACTCATTATTTTCATTTAAATTTACATATCTGATATTGTCATTATTTTCCTAACTTATGTCAATGTTGAGATTATTTTTATCTTTTATTTAGTATCTAAATTTTGCAATTTTTATTTTAACTTAATCAAACGTTTTTTTTTTTCTTTTTTAATATTTTTTGTATTATTATTATTTTTTTTACCTTATTTAAATGTTAAGGTGTTGACACATATTCTGCTGGTTTCTGCAGTTGGATCAATGTTAACAACAATGACATGTTACTACCATAAAAATGCACCATAAGTTCTACAGTGGTAACAATAATAATAATTATTATGTTTTCTCTTAAATAAAATAATCTTTTATGTTTTTAATTTTATTAATTTTTTTGCCACTGTGACAGAAACTTTTCAGAAACACAAACTCCCCAAAGAGTGTCTTAGAAATAAAGAAATAAAGAGCAGGAGGAAGAAGAGGAGCAGCTGCTGCCGGTCAGACGAGTCGGACCAGTTGCAGATTAAGAGCCTGAATCATCGTCCGATTTGTGATAAGACGTTTCACTCCTGAAACACAAACACTGTCAATACATGTCTGAAAAATATCTTTAATTCAGTCTAATGAGTTTATTAACATCTTTAATTATATTTGACACAATAAAAACTGCTGGTCACAAACTTCTGAGGTCAAAGGTCAAACTCAACATTAAAACCTTATTTTCTTCAAACAATTAAATTAATTCAAAGTTCTTATTAAACATTAACAGCAGATTAAAAACTCGGACTGAAAAGAAATAAAAACATTTTAAAGTACAAATAAAGTTAAAACTTCTCTTTTTTGTTTGTTTCAACTTAAAATAAACAAAAATGTTAATAATTACTGATATTACAACAGAGACTAGTGAATGCATTACCTGCAGGAGTTGCGTGTGGATGCTGACGGCTGAAATATGTCACTGAAAATGCAGAAATATGAAACAAGTCGCCTGAGGATATAAATGCTCAAATGCATCGTCCTACCTGGAAGCAACGATGTAGAACTGGAAGTTACGGAGGCTGAGCTGCATTACCTAAAAAATCGAAGAGCTGAAATACATCGCTGAAATAGCAGGGATACGAAACAAATTGCCCGAAAGATAAAAACCCTCAAATGCACTGAGTTCACTGCTGAGAATATTTGAAGCCACAAAGGCTGAGTGGTGTTACCTCAAGAAACTACATGCTGAAATACATGGCTGGAAAAGCTGGAAGCTGAACTGTGACACCGTCAACGGCTGAAATGTGAAAAGCTGAAGCAACATCGTTTGTCACAACAGACATCAACATATTTCACATTTGTTCCTAAAATCTGTGCATGCTGATGAAATTAAAGTTAATTTGGGGAAAAACTTGAAACAAGTTGAAATATTTTAAAGACAAAAATCACATCATTAAGATTTTTTAAAGTGAATTTAAAGAGTAAATATGAACAAACATCAAACCAAGTGCTGAAATATAGTTTATCACTGTGTGTGTGTGTTGGATGAAGTCAGCAGCACCATCTTGTGGACAAACAGCACATCACAACTTATTCACTCATTAGGCTGCCAGGGCACTATTGTAATCCTAGGTATTCTTCTTTCTTCTTCTTCTGAGGAAATCATACTTCCCATGGTTGAAAACTCACCAAACTTTGCACAAAGGTCCAGTCTCATGCCAGATATCCTCAGCTGTAAACTCAAGCCAATAGTCCTGATGGTGGCGCTACAGCAAGCGTCTAAAGTTCAAAACTTTGAAAATTCATCACAAATCAACCATACGTGCTACAACTTCACAACTTTCATCAAACTGTAGCCCCAATACTGAAGAAACTTTTGTACATTTAAACCTATTAAAAATTATGAAGTTCATCACTCTGTTTTTTTCAAAAACTGTTAAACTTCTTAAACCTATCTCCTCCCACAATTTTTGCTCAGTTGACACCAAACTTGCTTCAGAGCATCTTCAGACTGTCCTACATAAACTTTGTTTCTCAGATTTTTGATTTATCAAAAATTGAGCCTACAGTGCATCAAAGTGTTTGACTGTAAACGGTACTGTAAACATATACATGCAAATTCTTGCTAAATAAATCTTCAATGTTCATGAAAAAAATGACAAAATTCTAGAGTCATGGTAGATGATGTGTGGCAAGTTTCAGAATTTTATCTCACAAACTGAATTTTTGACAGCATTTTGAATTTTGCTCTAATGTGAACAATTGGAGTCAATGTAAAAATGGCAATTTTAAACATCAGTTTTTCACTTATGGAGCAAATCAATCACTGTTACAAACAAATTACCAACATCCCCATGCTGTCTAGATGCAATATGTGTATTTTCAGATTTTTGTCTTAATAACTGAATTTTTTACAGTGGTTTCAAATCTGCCTTTCCATGCACGTATGGCTGCTTTCCTACACAACAGTGAATAGCTTACTCAATTTGTGAAGCCACTGTTGAGTTGCTGCTTGCCAATTAGCTCAGAGTGGTAGATGACCGTCTTAGGTTCCAGAGGTTGCGGGTTCGAGCCTCAGCTGGTGCAGAATCCACATTTTAATGTAATCATCTTCTTGTGCTCCAGCTTATTGCTTAAAATTGCCTGAGCGTGACTGATCACTGTGCAGCATCTTCAAGTCTTTTTTCTGCTAAAAAATCAGCCTTCTCATGCTTGAAAATAAACCAAACTTTGCACAAAGATCCAGTGTCAATACTTCAGTGTGAAACCATCTGAGGCTTCTCACTTTGCACATAGCTCAACTAGTTAAACATCAGTTTTTCACTTATGAAGCAAATCAATCATTGTTAAAATAAATACCATGCATGGACGGCTGCGAAACCTGCACGTCTGGCTTAGTCAATTTGTGAAGCTACACATGAATTGTCACTGACTAATTAGCTCAGTGAGATAGAAATTGATTCTTAGTCTCAGAGGTTGTGAGTTCAAGCCTCAGCTGATGCAAAAGGCAGATTGTGTTGCTAAATTCCTAAATATCTTCCAATTCTTCTGCTTGTTGCTCAGAATTGCCTAAAAATGCCCGGACCCGACACATCGCTGCGCAGCAGCTGTAATTTTTCTAATAATCTGGAGACAATTTTAATTAAAGAATAAACTATTAAGAGATTAATCTGACTCTGAGTCGTCTTTTTTCTCCTCTTAAAGTAGTTTTTGTAGCTTTATTCTTTATGTATGTTGAATTCTTGGAAGACACACGAGACATTTTTGCATGTTCAGCGACTGAAATCATTTCCGAGATGAACGTTTTATTCTTAATGACGTCATTTTAACGTATAAATTTCACATAATTACAGAACAAACAAAAAGATTTTTGACTGAATTTAATTCAAACAGATAACTGAACACTAAAGACAAACAATAAGAACATAATTATGCATTGAACTACTTTGTTTTGTGATTTTATTTTTATTTCCTTGACAGAAACATGTAATCTGGCACCTTTTTTGGGAATTTCTCTAAAAGAAAAACTCAATTTACACCCAATATTCAATATTCATTTATTTTTTTGAAGCTTTATTTTTTATATATGTTGAATTCTTGGAAGACAAATGTCTCATCTTTGCATGTTCAGCTACTAAAACGACTCCAGGAGGTGAAGTACCAAGTTACATTTTTCTTCACAGAAACTACAGAGCAGTAAATAAAATATTTCCCTTCTTTCCTTTATAATGTTTATTTGGCAAATAACTTTACTTTTAACTTGTGTTATATGATTTATACTGGTGCTTAAATGCAGAACAATGGTGCAGAAATATGTTTACATAAAGAAAAAACCCGTCTGATCGTCACAATCGAGCCTCAGCGATCAGCCCTCTCTTTGATTATCAAATCGTTATGAGTTTGACTTTGAGTCGACGACGCCACCAACACGTTTAAAGTCCCTTCAAACCACAGACGTCATAAATACATTCCCTTTTAATAAATGTGATTATAAATTATAGATTAGCTCGGGGAGTGAAGACAAAGCTTCGTACAAAAAGGAGTGTGAGGAAGTGAAACACGAGGAATGTGTGAGAAGACTCAGAAACAGACTGAAGGACAGACGGACGACTGGAGGACACTTAAAGGTACAGTCCGTCCGTCTGTGATTACAGGCACAAGATCGTCACAGCAGTCACAACAACACAGGAGAGGAAAGGAAACGTGTACAATATGTGGCCGGAAGTATGTGGACACCCAGGTGAGACACCTGCCGAACTGCAGACCTCAAAAAAACAGACATGATGCTCTTTTTTTCTGGAAGGGTAATGCCACGAAAAACAGTTGTTTTTTATCCAAACATTGGTGCATTTCTGGCAAAGATAATGCAACGAAGAAAGGTTGTTTTTTTTACCCATACATCGCTGCATTTCTTGCGAGGATAATGCCACAAAAAGAGGTTGTTTTTTTTACCCATACATCGCTGCATTTCCTGCGAGGATAATGCCACAAAAAGAGGTTTTTTTTTTTACCCATACATCGCTGCATTTCCTGCGAGGATAATGCCACAAAA